TTTGTTTAACGACCGAAACTTGAGCGACCGCCGATTAAGAAAAAGTGCGGTGCTCAGTGACGGAACTCATCCTGGGTGCGTTTACAGTGTTGGCGTCTGGCGGCACTGTGGACCTGCAAGGGAGTAGTGGGCAGCCAAACAAAATCTACCTCGTAAGGTCACCCGGGTGCATCTGCTGGCTCATGATATTAATGCCTGAGCACTCGACTCTTTATTATCCGCAGCGGCGCCACGGATAAGAGGAGTCGAGCAGTAAACTGCTCCTGCTATCTGCATTATCTGCAGCTAGGTGGCACTTGGAAGTGATCCCAAGAAATTGGGGCTGTACTACCCCCTGTTATCCACGGCCGTTCCACGGATAACAGGACTCACTCAAAGATAATATAAGATCCGTGAGCAGCTCCCATCTATATCAACACGGATAAGAGGAGTTCACTTCACTTAGGAGTGGGGGTCACTCATTCTGATGCACAATCATGGTGAGCCAATCTCTCCATGCCCTTTTAAACGCGATGCCCCAGCAATCGCATGAGCACCCGGGTACATAATTTAATATTTATAAAGGGCACCCCTCGTCAAGAGAACGTGCCCACCACGTTGCATGGGCACGGTACGGCCATGTGATTAGAATCAAAGCCAGGGAGGCGTTATTTCTGTGGATAACCCGTCATGACGGTGATCTACATACGCATGTGCGGTCAGTCTGTGTGTGGGGACAGCGGTGGTGCAGCGGTTAGCGCGATGCCCTATGAACCCAGAACCCCAAGTTCGAGTCCTGCTCACGGCCAACACCATTGATGATTATCTGAACTGGTCCTGGGCCTCACCTGGGTCGACTCGGCCTCAAATGAGTATCTGGTACAGTGTGTAAACATCAACACTTGGGAGACTGGCCACCCACTCCTTTATATGCCGGCTGTCCATACACTTGCCCCAAAAGTCGGTTAAAGGCTATACGGGGATCTCTATCTTTGGGGACGGGGTAGCGTGCCGTAGTAGTTTTCAGACTATGCAGACACCCTGATGGTGACGATGTGCGTCAACAAGCGTTACCCCACTTCTCTTTCTGCTTCTTCCGTCACACTTCACTTCTCTCCCCCATCGCCTCTTTCCCCAAGTTCTTTTAACATTGCTCATTTTAAGAAACAACTTAACTCTTCATCACCATTGCGATGTGCATTTGATGTGCTATAAAGGAGGACCATTGCTCGAAACGTGATTTTTTTCTGATTTTCTTTTAAGGCAGCATTATTGACGGCATGTGTTGAGTTGTTCAGTTTTCATTGCGGGCCTGTGCTCGGCAACCATGATTATTGGTATTTTATGGAATTGGGTCACTTAAGCCTTTGATAAGAGGTGAGCAGACTTCGTTAAGCCTCTCACCAGGATGCTGGCTTCGTCAGATGCAGTTGCATTTCGATGCTGTGTGAATCCGCATTGTGTGTTCTGCTGGATTGTTATTGAATTATTGATACACATCAGCACCGCTGGAGAGTAAGGCGACCAGGAACATTGCGTCTCTGCGTTGGGAAATTGTAAATTGTGTCTTCGCTGGTGGGGAGCGGTGGCACAGCGATTAGCGCACTGTGGTGTGAACCCGGCGACCCGAGTTCAATTCCTCGCCAAGGCCAACATCGGTGGTGATTAATGGAACTTAACGATATGAGCCTGTCCTCTGTTGACTCGTCCTCAATACCTGGTTCAATGTGTACGTCACTACTAGGGAGACAAAGGCGGCCGGGCGTGGTGTTGACCACACTGTTCTTACGTGCGTCGTAGCGGCCTTAGTACGTGCCCGCAAACAGCACTTGCCCGACGGTGAACCCAGGATTATATTTTCCTTAATTAACTGGTACTTCCAGTTGGCTGTGTACAAGTTCAACATACAAATATATATCTGTCAGTTATGATTGAGATCTTGGAATGTTTATTCTCAGGGGTTGTCTCCCGTGATAAAATGACGATGACGTCACGATCGAGCAGAGCATGGCGCACCACGAACAAACCCACACCGCAATTCACACTTTCTTTTACTTCCCCACAAAGTGGTACTTTCTTTTATTGACCGGAAGGATGATGTGCTGACTCAACCCCCTGACCATACAAATCACGATTTGACCTCGCAACCTTTCCAACTGCGAGTTCGGTCAAAACACAACTTGTGAGATACAATCCTGATCGTTCTGCTTCCCGAGCCGGTTCGTGTTGACGGCGTCGAGTCACAAGAAAACTACCGGAGGCGTCTCAACCCGTCGCAGTCGTGGCACCGACTCGGCACAAACAAGTGACGTCAGGGGGTGGACGCCAGGGCTCGAGTGGTCGAGAACGTCCCAGGCACCACGTGCGGCGGCGCGCACGGGAGCCGCCACCGCGGGGTCCTCTTGGTCACCCCCCCCCCGTCCACGTCCCCCCTGCTCCATTCATCCCCGTGGACTTTTTTTGTTCCCCCCCCCCCCCCCCCGATTTAATTAAGGCTTCTTTTGATGAAGATTCAAAAGTGTTTACGGAGTTCTCTGCCTTGCCGCCGGGCTGCCGTGAACGGCGCTCATTGTGCGGCCGTGCCGTAGGAGGGGGGCGTTGAGGAGGATGGAGGGAGGGGGGCGAATGTCCCAGCATGCTGCGGCGAGAGGGCTGCTGCGAGAGTGCAGCCCGCCCGCCCTTCTTCCTTCACGGGCTGCGTCCCCAATTTGAAGGGAATCGCTGCTGTTTTCGGGTTACCTATTGCCATGGTGATGGTGGTAGGGGTTGTTCAAGGACAGCCACGGTAGTTACAAGCTAAGCAGAGTTGAGCACGGGTTTAGTATGTACGGTGTGTGTATGTTGAACTCCTTCCGCACCATGATGTAGGCAACCTTGCTACTCGGAGATGCGGGGGAAGGACAACAAACTAAACACAAAAAGCAGTTGTCAAGACACGAGTTTTCAATCTGGATGATGTAAAAGTGCGTAGCCCCAGTGGCTTCCAAAGATCGGAAGGAGGAGCGTTCCGGACGGCCGCAGAAGCGCATCTGAAAGCGCCGCGCGATGCGGTGACCGCCGCCTTCGTGCGATGGCAGCATGTGGATGGGGCGGCTGCCTGGGAATGCAAAGTCGTTTGTAGGCTTGAGCTCACGAGCTGGCGAGGAGATGGCGGCACATTTGTTGATTCTTTAACCTGCGTACAAGTGTCTTTCCTTGCCCTCCCAATGCGGCATGGTGGGTGTTCTCCAGTCACTTCTGGTTTCTGCCCACGTGCCGAGAAAGCACTGAGGAATAGAATTGGCCAACTATCCCAAGCCAGCACCCTCGTGATAAAACATCCGTGAGACTTTTATGAAAACACAAAACAAGGGCCACTTGAGGGGATTGTTTGTTGTTTTTGAGAAAGCCGTGAAAATCACTTCCCACAGCCGCTGCTTGACGAGCGAGGCACAGGAGCGCTGCTCTGCCAGATTTCCACATTAATTATTCGTCGTATGACACGGTCATACCAAAACACACAAAATAATCACTCGTTGAAACAAAAACATCTAATATATTCTTGCTCATGATGGCAATATGTCCAGGGGCTGCTGGCTACGACGAGATGGCTTCAGGAGAGAGTTGGTGTCGTTTTGCTGTTCCTCCTCCGCCTCCATCGCAATGACGCACACCACAGCGGTCGACTATACGGTCCAAAATAATGTTTGCAAATGTAAGGAGCGTTTGGATTGGAGGGCAGTTGAAGGCTCTACTTGTACGTTCATACAAACCAGACAGTAAAGCCTTAATAGTTTTTTTTTCATGATAGTGTTTTAATGCGAAGCCATTAGCTCAACAGCACTTATCTTTACCGCATTCGCAGGAACAAATCTTACCGCTAGGTGCAGTGACACGCTTTGAGTGCTAATGTGTGCCAAGCCGTTCTGTGAACCTGCTGTGTGACGAGCACAGGGAAAGCTTCTAACGGTCTGCGTTCAATTGATTCAACACCGTGCCGTCGTTACAGGCTCCAAGCTCGATTATGTCATCAAAGCCTTGTCCTGGCGCACGCACGCACACTCACAGATTCCTTCACTTGCCGGGAAACAAGCTCAAGTCTAACCGTAATGTGCTGTTGTGTGTGTGTATTAGTGGTGCACCTAGCCTGGCACAAGCGCCGTGGTGACGTCGCCAACAGTAACGTCGTGTTTAGCACGCTGCGCCATGAACCCAGTGCCCCAAGTTTGGTTTGCGGCCACGGCTAACTTCAGTGGTGATTACCTGATTCATGTCCTGGGCCTCCGTTTTGTCGACTTAGCCTTAAAATAGTACCTGGTGCAGTGTGTAAACATCAGCACTAGGGCGTGGTGCTGGCCATACCCCGCTCTCGTGCGCTGTGCCGGCCTTCATAGGTGCTTGCTAACAACAGCACTTGCCCCAACAGCTTGTGTAGGTTGTAGGGGGGATCTTTGGCTTTGTAATAATCCCATGGTTCGCGCTGCGATACAATCCAGTGGTCCTGCTGTCACGTGCATCAGAATCTCGCTTTGTCCTTCTCGGCACGAAGCGAACACGAGATGTGTTGGTGCGGTCATCGGTTTTGTATTTGCCACATGATCCCTTTGTGTGCTGTGCCAGCCCCTAATAGGTGCCGACACCACTTGGCGCACAATGTGTTTTTTGTATCAAGGTGTAAATTGTGTATGGTTGGCATATTGGAGACCCTGTCTCGTACAAGATGCACAATAACAACACGTGTTGTGGTTGGGTTTCTGTCACCTGTCTGAGGCTCGTCATCAAATATGCACGCACATGAATTGCTCACATGCACGGAAGTCCCTGGGCATTGTGGCGATATTCGTGTGTGTGTGTGCAGTGCCGTGTTCAAAAGCCTTTCTGGCGTTACACAATCAAAACCATTACCTCTCTTGGAAGCCATTGCAAACATCAACAGCTATTCACCTTTAAATCAATTCTGGACAGCGTTTGAAGGACTTGGGTGACCTGCTCGTGTTAGCAGTTTAATTTCATTGGTTGCGTGTGTTTGTTTTTCCTTTCAGAGTCGTCTGGTCCGCTGTCAATCGGAAAGCACTCCTTCCCCTTCAGCTTTAAGCTTCCAGGTAAGAGCACGACTGATTGAGGAGACGTGGCGTTCCACCCAAAAATACAATGCTGGAGAGATCGGTTTAACACGTAGTAGGCTTTCGCAACCAATATTATCCATAATAAAGTTTTTTTTTTTGGGTTGGATCACATAAATATAAATGTGTCGTTAACCCACCACCACGTAAACAAAATGTGTCAAATGTGCAAATTAGATACTGCTTCAGCACACCGGTGTGTTGGAGAGGGAACCCACAACAACATTTACAATTCGGGTCGGACGTATCTCCGGCGACTAGAACCAGCTTCATGAGGCGATTTGCCAGAATTGTGAAGAAGTCTTCCTGGAGAGATCTCTCGATGGTTGATTTCTGCTGATCTGTCATCAACTCTGTTATCAAATAATTTTTTTCTCAATCAAATAATTTACCTGCCCCACCCTCCCAGCCGTTCTGGTTAAATTCTGCTGTAGCTCCATCCATGCGACCTAAGACATTGAACAACATTTCAATGTTCTATTCTAGGAGTGAATAGCAATCTTGGTCAATCATCATCATCATCATCCTCATGCTTGGGCCACTCTCTTCAAATAACTTTGCTTCCCAATTGCACCCTGGAGCCATTCCATCAGAAGCTGTTTTTTTATTATAATTCACCATTTGGTGAAATAAACATTAACGAATCATCCTACGACCACTAGTTTCATTTCAAAGTAAGAAAAAAAAGGTCAAAAGTTATTTATCTATTTTAAATTTTTAGCAGGAAAAGCCCACTGAGCTATGTAGCTCTTTTTCTGAAGCGACCTGGCCACAAATGATGGCCCAATGAAATGGCTTATCACGTTTTGAGGTGGTAACCATGTTCTGTTTGCAGCCCTGAGCCAATAGTGGAAATTCCACCATATCCAGGACGACTACAAAGTGGTAATTTTGTTATCGATTCTGGAGTCGATGCCCAGCTGGGATTGGTTACTCACAACCTTGCGATTGCGAGGCGCTCGCTGTACCGCTGAGCCAGCTGGCAGTTACTCGCCTCATAGGTCGGGGACCCCACCTATTTGTCGTTAAGAATTGGCACAAACAAAAATACAAATAAGGTGCCGAATGATGGTGTTATTAAATACATTTTGAGTACTTGTGCTCTACTGTTTTAATAAAGTGCGAAGCAGTGGCCATAGTTGTTCGCGCCCGGCACTATGAACACGGAAACGACCCGAGTTAAATTTCTGGCCGCTGCTAACATCAGTGGTGACTGATCTCTGTACCAGTCCAGGCCGCTTCACCCTTTCCTGTTCCAAGACGTCTGCAAGTGGCAGGGTGGGTGTCCCGTTCACCGCTGAGTCTCCGAACACGCAGGCGGCTCGGCGTTAATTTTATTTAGAGAGGCGTAGCGCCCTTGTTCTTAAATACACAGGACTCATCGCAGAGAACAGTCGTGACACGACCGCACTCTGTGACAGCTGGCACCAAACCGTGCCACACGCTTTCCCGCACGGCCTTGTGTGAGCCTCGGTACCGATAAAGTTATTTGATTTAAAATGTTCTCATGAAAGGGTTAACCAACCCCCAGTGACCAGCGTGGTGAAGTATAGTCAATCTGCTCCATGACTGATACGACATATGGAGGCCTTTGTGTAGCAGTGGATCGACGAAGAGTAGTAAATGGTTGTTGTTATTGTCGTCGTCATAGTCAAGGCTGTTGTTTCTGGGCTGTGGATCACAACGAACCCACAGGTGTGTTTACAGCACACAGTGTCCCTTTGCCTTCGTTGTTTCCGAGGGACATTGAATCAGTACAGAACTCGTCAGGGCTTGGATTTGTTCTTTCACTTGACTTATTGGCAACTTGTCAGCTTTAACGTTAAAATAAAACGTAACCTTTGCAAGCTACATATCTTCTTAACGAGAGGGTCAATGCCTTTAACATGTGGTCGTTCACCAGCATCGCTTCAAGCCAGCCTGATTGCTGATGAGACACTGTGTGTTGAAACCAGTCCAGAGTTTGCTTGTTCTGAATCAATGAAGGCCGTGGGAATCATAGGCTGTATGGACAATACTGACTTATTTTTACATGGACAGATAGATATTTATTACGTGACACTGCGTATATATATTCACTTTACAGGTGCTATTCTATATATGCTGCGTGTTGAGATGCAATTCTATTTCAGTTGAGATTTACTTAGCGATTTTTATAATGGACTAATTGGCCCAGCTCTTTACCAATGGCTTTCAAAAGCTGACCTAGCCTAAAGTGAGTAGCTGTTGTGGTGCATCAATAATGAGAAGCACAACTGAAGTTCGGTCATGGCAATACCGTGGCACCCACCACAGTTAACTACCTTGCTCGTTTACAGGTCGTAGGTTCAATCCTGACCCACATGCCTGTATATTTGGAGTTGGTGTGTTCTCCCCGTGATCGCGTGGATTTTTCTTTGGGTCCTCCGGTTTTCCCCTCCACATGTAGAATCAACGTGAGTTTTAGAGTATTTGGCTGCCATAAATGTCCACGCGATAAGCCACTTCTCCGAGCTGTTTTAATGTGTGGTCTGGTCGCTTCTGAAAAAGAGCTACATAGCTCAGTGGGCCTTACCTAGTAAAATAAAAAGGGTTTATAGTCTTGGTTTATACTGCCCAGTTTTGTACATCACTACTGTATTACGCATTCGCCACTTATTGCAGAGGGTCACGTTTCAGTTCCAGCAACCGCTCTGATTAAACCTGCGGCATGCGTATTAACCAAAGCACTACGTGCCACCTGCTTTACAGTGGACATTAAAGAACTTGTCACCTAATTCGCAAGAGTAGGCTTTTGTGTGTGCCGGTGTCTCGTTCCAAATGTGGTAAATTAGAAACTTTTCACTTCAAATCACTCAATTGGGATTAGATAAAGCAGCAATAATTGCCCTCTTGCGAAAACCTAGCAGGTCCTTCCCAAAGAAGAGCCGTGAGACTCGGGTGAGGCCCTCCCGGGTAACAATCTGTTCTTTATTACTCCCAATCAGTCCACGCTGACTGCCCATGTCCTGGCGTCTGTGGGGAAAAACAACGATGGATCTTTGTAGTCTAGTAGTAATAATAATAGTACTGTTACAATGATGTTTATTTTATAAAGCGCCTTTCATATTGAAATAACTCAAAGCGCCTTACTTAGAAAGAAAGTCTCGTAAACTATCGATAAAATCCTACCAAAATGCAATAGAAGCTGATAATGATAACTCCACTCACACTATAGATAACATTAATAACCCTCTACGATAAAAGCCATGCATTCTAATTACACTCACGTTGTAGATAAAATCAAACCAAGCTACAGGGAAAGCCAATTAATACAAATACATTTTAAGCTATAATTAAAAGCACCATATATATAGTATGCATACATATACTTTTAAAACTGAAAAAAAATTCGATTTAAAGCTTTCGTGACCGCAGGGATTCATCTTCTTGGTTCTTTCGGTAAAGTCACGTAGAAGGGAAGTAATAAAATAATAAAAATAAAACATAATAAAATAAAATAATTTATTTATTTTATTAAATAAAATAATTTATTTATTTTATTTTATTATGTTTTATTTTTATTATTTTATTACTTCCCTTCTACGTGACTTTACCGAAAGAACCAAGAAGATGAAAAAAAATTGTTTACCAGATAAGATCCACTGAGCTATATAGCTCTTTTTCAGATGCGACCTGGCCACAAATGATGTCTAAATGAAGTGGCTTATCATGTGGACATTTCTTGCAGCCAATTACTCTAAAAACATGTTTTTAAATGTGATGGGAAATAAGTATAACCCGTAAAAACAAAGTTTTTCACTATAAATCCTTTATATGCGTGGCGGCTAGAGTCCTCTCGTCCTCTGGCTTGAGATGGCTGCCACCTATGGGTCAGATGATTGTCTGCCAGTATTAAGCAATTGGTAATTAAATATTTAATTTGTTTTCCCTAAACAGTGTAAAATTTTGGAAAAAAAATTCACGAACATTAATTGTCTCGCACAACGAGTCTGTGTGCAAAATGTCAGCTCGATTGAATCACGGGAAGTGGGTTAAAAAACGGCCGAAAGATTTGCACGGTCGTAAGCAAGCAAGCAAGCACGCAAGCAAGCAAGCGAACTTAATATAAATGATTTAAAAACGGAGGACCTGGAGAAAAATCCACGTGACCGCGGGGAGAGAGGAATGCAAACTCCAAATATATAGGGAAGGGAGATTACATACACAACACATATCTCACTTGTAGACTGTAGAGGGGAGTGCTGTTGGTAAGCTGATTAAAGTTGGCATTTGGGCAACACCACGGCCAAACGCCTTTGTCTCCCAAGTGCTGACGTTTACATAAAGCACCAGGTACTCGCATAAGGCCGCGGTGACGGAGCCACGCACAACCGAAGTTGTGCGTGGCTGTTGTGAGTTGATGGCATTGCGGTGCATGCCATGTATGAACCATCGTGTCACACGTGCACACACACACGCACACACTCGTCAACATCTGTGATTTCCTGCTCAAAGTGAGCAATGAGGAATTGGTAGGAAATTCCACATTCCTATGTCGGGGGCAAGTCTATCCAGAGGTCGACCACTGTTGCCTTCCAACACAAAGTGGTGCTCATTTTATGGACCCCGGATGGATGATGGGCTGAGTCAACCTCCCAACCAGGATTTGAACTTGCATACTTCTAATTGCGGGCCGCTCGTCCGACTGCTGAAGCCACCTGACGAGCTCAGGTGCAGATAAGGGTGTCCGGAGACGGCAGTTGGCCACAATTGTGACCACAATTGTGACCACGTGATCCATCCTCTCATTGCCGAGTTGCAATGCCACGTGATCTAACACAACGCGTGTCTAAAGCCACCAGTCTTGTTTTACACCGCCATTCAAGAGGCAACATTGTGGACATATAATTTATGTTGACCATTTTTTCTCAAATTTTTACCGTTTACCTGTTGGACTCATTTTGCGTGTACGGAGTTATTGCCCTGCGCGTATCATTGCCGTGCTTGCAGCCTGCTCA